CAGGAAATTTCTCTGGCCAAGTCTTGGACCAGCCTCGCCCTGCATGCTGTACAGAGGGCCTGGGGAGCCTTGGAGCCCTGCACTCTGTGGGTCACACCCCAGAGCTGAGAGGTCGCCAAGCTCAGAGGCCCTGACATTAAACCAATTGTTTCCAGCCCCGAGTCTGTCTCCCTGGGGGTGGGGATGGGGTCACTGTGGGTCCTGCGAAGCTGCACCTGTAAGAGGGAGGGGGCAGGGGCAGGCTGTGGCCAGGCCGGGCAGTGGAGGTCCCCAAATAAGGTTGCTCACCTCTGGCCCAGGCTGGGGGGCATAGGAAACCCTCCCCTTCACACCTGTCCCAGAGGGCACACAGGGACTTTCCTGGGAGGCGAGGGGCTAAGAGGGCCCTGCCCAGGCAGCCCCAAGACTGTCACCCAAGACGATTGGGAGTGGTGAGGAGCCAGGTGGGTGGGGAGGGGCCGTGAGTCAGAGAAGCGAGGCCAGAACCCGATTAGGAGAGGAGGGGCAGGGGCAGGGAGGGGCCGGCAAGGGGGTGTGGGGCTGGCTGGACAGGCTCAGGGTCAGCTGGGGTGGCCTCGGTGCAGCAGCGGGTGTCCCTGAGCCCGCAGAGGGCTGCGCTCTGCACCTTGAGGCCCTGACCACCGGCCAGGGCCCCACCCCAGGAGGAGGCCGCTGACGCCCTCTGCTGACGACTCTATGCTTCGGCGCGTCGCTGCCCCGGGGGCGCCCCAGCACCTGTCTGGTTCCCGAGCGTCTTGACCTGCGTGGTCCCAAAGGAGCCAGTGGACCAACCCTGGGTCAGGGTGTCCAAAGCTCCCAGTCTTGGGGCCTCTGCCTGATGGGCAAGGTGACCGCAGGGAACTCGGATGCGAAGGGCAGGTTGGGCCTGGCAGGGCTGAGCTGGGAGGGCTGTCCCTTGGCTGGTGGATCATCAAGACAGGACCAGTCCCCAGGTCTGGACAGGCCACACTGGACCAAGTCTGTCCAGCAGGGCTCGGTCAAGGGGAGCTGGGGCTGTCTGGTGCCATCTGGAACTTGACCACCACAGCCCCATCTCCCCAGGAAAGAAAGGAGCCCCCCCCCCACCTCCAGGCCAGAAAATAAGTTCTGCCCTTCCTGGCCTGGGCAGGACCCTGCGGACAGGGAGATGGGCCCCCAGAGGAGAAGGGGAGGGTGGGGCAGTGTTCCTCCCCCTGGAAACCCGCAGAGCCCACTAGTCCAGAACCACCAGCGGTTACAGGTGCCCCAAGCAGACCACCCCACCCGCCCTCCTAGGCTGAGCTCCTCCCTCAGAGCGGGGATGGGCAGCCCTGGCTCCACCTGCTCCCAGTGGGGCCTCTGCTGCCCCGGGATGCCCAAACTAGAACGGGGGGCTGGGGGCACGGCCCCCGTCCAGCCTCCCACCCAGCTGTACGCAGCAGGGCTCCCCGTCACCAGCATGGTCTGGGCTTTGGGGACACTGCCTCTGGCCTGGGTTGCTCAGCTCTCCCGAGCCTTAGAACCTGCACCTGCCTCCTGGGCTCAGGTGCAGTTTGGCCTGATTCGCGTTCCCAGCCACCCACCTCCCTGCCTCCCAGTGCGGACCGGTCAGCAGAGAAGAGGGAAGGTCTGGCGGGGCCAGCCCCAGGGGGGGCGGGGCTGCAGGGGGGCTGACCCTGGGCAGAGGGTGGAGCTGCCCATCCAGTACCCACCCGGTGCCTGGCTGTGCTCAGCAAATGTCCCGGGAACAAGGCCCGTCTCTGTCTCGGGGACAGGCGTGTCTTTGTGGCCCCCACCGGCC